TTTWAAAWTTTTWWTKRAARRRRARKYMAAARRAAAAARAKKCAATGCAAGTTCCCAAACTCTACTGGATTAAYAAGCATTTTGCATGCTTTCCTTTTTCCTTACATTATGGACTACTATGCTAAAGYCCATGAGGCCGAAGGYTGAATGCCGATATTTGCTGCATTTCCGTCCTCGWTAGGTCTAATTGCTTTAGCAAACACGCTAATCTGTCACTGAAATACTAAGCTRAAATCTTCAACACGTATTGCCAAACGTGGTTCATTATTTYGGTCSRCCAATTTTYTTCTCTACTAAYGATCTATCATAAATTAAACCTCTAGYAGAGTGGCCAATCAGAATGCAATATGAGTGTTAAATCATTGTGYACTAAACAAGGATATACTGAGAGTGACGTGTTGTTGTTGCATAATTTCTTCCTGCGCTTTATAATATTGGCCGACATTTTAGAAATACTGATGTTCCAGACTAAACACATAGTYACTATATTTACAATTGTATWTACCGCACACATGCAATGSGAGCTGTGTAATTCATCTGGGTAATACCTTAATCTGACAAAAAGCTGGCATGTTAGAATTGACTTTCAAGACAAGATGTCTGTCTTTGTAAATTATTCTTAAATATGTATTAGCAAATATCGAATAATGATATTAATACGCAATTCATACAAATGAGTGAGATTTTCTGCTTTATCCGATTGACAAACTTATGTTTTTTTCTCAAATCGTTATAAGATTATTTCGTGCGCGCGATGTTGTTTTAAGATTTTTTTTTTTCAATGAAAAATTACATCATTGTGTTCTTCTTGCTTGGCATATCCAATATCAGTGCTACTATTTTGAAGAGAACGATTTTTGTCGCGATAAACCAAACGCAATTTTAATGATTTGAGGAAATCGTGGATTAAGAGCTGCGAATGTGTATTGTCGGGTGCCCTCTTTGTATCCATAGCAACAATAAACTCAGCTTAAGCTAAAGTGAAAATTATAAATTGTTGGATAATGAAATAAGAATATCAAAGGCATGCGAAAGAGCCGCTGATCCTAATAACGGAAAATTTCTTATTTTATTTTGACTACTGTTTCAAGGAAAAGTTTTGCATCGTGAATATCGTTCTCCATATGCAATCATGTCGATGGATTTCCATCAGGCAGCGTGCTAGCTATGTGGTGGATTCGCTGCTTGACAGAAGTAAAATGTGTACATACGTTCTTGATATATTTTATAATAATACACAATGTACTCAAATTCGTCAATTCCACAAATATGCAGTGTGTTCTAAATATATTAATGAAAATGTTTTTCAAAGTTGCGGTTTTTTTTCGCGCAATCTGATCTAAAATAAACCTCTTCTTAAATACAGGAGACATTTTGCTATCAGTTTTTAAATGGAGAGCTTCTTTCGATTCCTCCCACGCTTTCACAGTCGATTGAAGGAAGCCGACTCATTAGAAGAGTTTTTTGCTTATTGTTCAGACAAAAGCAAGGTTTTCTGCTGCTGTGACGATTTTAATAATTTATCTGAAACTATGGCGTTTTGATGCGTGGGTTGATCTATTCCTTCAAGTTCATCTATATTTTAAATAACTAAAATAAAGAATATGCGAATTATACACGAAGAGTGATGATAGTTGCTTTATTTTTTTTTCTACTAGTGCTTTTAATTTAATGTATAAACATATGTTCTATTTTACTATAATGTACAACTAAATTCTACTCTTTCCCGGTGAAAGTCTATAAATATCACTTCTTGTAACTCATATATTATTAAATATGTCCTATATCTGTTTACCTCAAGTATTTTGGAATAAGTATAGCTWTACTTTTTATTTTATTATGGATGGTAGTTTGGTTTCTAAGTGGTTTTCAATTTCACTGATGTTTTCCTTAGTTTTGTTGTCTTCACTCGAGATGGCAGGGAGCTTAAACTCCGTATCRCAGTTACTAACATTTRTACYAGYTTTWTTCAGGTTCTTTTCGCTGTTTGAATCGCTGTATTCGCTCGATTCGTTGGAAGTTTTTCGTTGCTTTTCCTTGCATTGAGGTCCGTTTTCCAATCGTGGTAAACCAAAAGTCCAGGTAAAAAACTCCGACTCRTARGAAAGATTCCTTTTCATGATTTTCGGGACATTATTTTGTGTTGGTGTTACAACAGGCAGAGAAAATTTCTTTTTTAACTTCATAGCTTCAAGATTTCGATTCCTCGGACTTTGTACAGACAAACTTTCTTTAGCAAGATCATCGACAGTTTTGCGGTTTTGTTTGTTCTTCCGCGCTTCGTTCATCAGTTGCAATTGCTCYTGTCGCAATGCAAGCAGTTCTTTTTGAAGTCTTTTCGATTCCAGTTTATAATCAATGTATTTCTGCAAGCGGTCTTTTTCCAGTTCTCTTTGAAGCAGATTTAACTGTTTTTGATCTTCGTGACAGATGACCAAAGCTTTCTGRTAGACGGAGCTTCGCTCTTTCTCTCCAGATGGCATTGTACGGAATGYCGAAGCGGGCTGAATGAGGCACTGAGCGATAAATCTAGAAATATCGAATTCCGGTTCAACTCAAACCATTTTATAAAGCAAATATGGATGGACGTTCACGATATCGCTAGAATTACTTGTGTCAATAAAGCGAGAGAGCATCAGATATCCATGTGCATCAGGGATTTTGATGGTCGGTGTCAAGCGATCGACTATAACTTTTCAATGATTGCCCAACCTTTGTTTCTTGTTTGTATTAAGCTTTACATAAATATATGTAAACAATCAGTTTGTTCTTAGAGCAGTTTTATTGTTAGCAATTAATTAAGATCAAATCCACCAATCAACAAYCAGATATTGATACCTATTCCAGAAAGCCAATCACTACGGGTATAAAAACAGTGTTTTACATTCGTATCGACTGGCAAAGTTGTACAAAGATATTTTATAATTGAAATGAATCGTCTGCACTTTTAACTTTTGCTGATAAATCATTAGTTTATTCAGTGCTGTTATGTAATCATTGTAACGCACAATAATCGCCGAGATTAAGCTGTGTTATTATACTAACATAACGCAGTCTGATAATAACATGATAACACGTTCCATGCCGTAGAAAATTTTTTTTAAATTCAAGTAATTCGAGTAAAGTAATCTTGTAATTTGCTTTTCTGTTAGACTCTTTAAGAAAACTTATATAAATAAATAAATATTCATGTTTATTTTTGAACTTATTGTTTCTACTTCACCACAGCACAGAAAACAAAAAACAAACAAACAAGAGCTACCAGTGACAACTATATAGAAACTGATACATTCCACCTTCCATTTTTCCGTTTTCKTATAATTCATCGCTTTGCTTAAAATGGCATAGATGCTTTTCAGTAATGGTAAAATAGACTCCATATCCATGATTTTAAACCCAGTTCAACTACTTCAATACTGATAGAATTCTTGCAGTCTGTTGCAGAACACACGATAATACTTCCAATGTGCGATTTGAGTCTTAGACCTTGAGCACTTGAGGTAGAGTATAGTGGGGCTATCCCTTTTGTTTTCGCTTCACAAACTAACAAGAGTTAGCAGGGTCTTACAAGTCAAAGAAAGACGATTGAGAGATTGATATAAGTGTATAAGTGTCGAAAGCGACTGTAGCTGATGTCTCATCAGAAAACGGTGGAAAAGTCTAGTGGTCACCAATTACTCATGCACAATGTAGCCCGAGTAAACACTCGATGGAAAAGTGTTTAGAGTGAGTGTATATCGACCATAAATATCGAGCACACAAAGTATCTTTCGATCGTTAATGCGACAATCTCGTACGACAACGTTTTTATGAAATAGCTATTCGACTGTACAATTGTTTTTATGTAATGACGACCCGACCCGACACTTAAAACAACGTCCTTTTGCACATTTATGGCTTTTGAATTTTTGAGCTAAGAGTTACATTATTCTGTTAACAATAACACTCAATGCAGAGAGAGAGGTTTCATTGAACTCCAAACACGTTTTGAGGCGATAACTCATTAAGTTAGATTCAAGTTAATCCATTAGAATTATCAGAAGGTCTCATGGGAATGTTATGGTTTTGATTTTTGTTGCCGTCGTCACGTTGTTAGGGTGCCAAAATTGATTTGTTTGTTTAAACGAGTTATGTCTCGTTCAGTAAGTGTTTTTTGATTTGTGYTTTTGATTATACTGCAACAAGTTCATATTGTGAAGTTTTCACATTGAGGATTGTTARAGGAAATTGGTTTATTTATGTTTTATCGTTAGTAGTAATCGATAGTTTCCTGGATAACAATTGGTTTCTACCTGAGGCACTTAGACACTGGAGGATTACTATAAGGTTTAGATGTCTGCATTCTACTAGAGCAAGCATCAATGTYAAGTCAGGTTTTCTTTTGGCTGAACTGAAAGTCATATAAACGTGGATCTTGATGGGYTAGTTTGTGAAACCACCTGTACAGGCATTTCCTGGACAAACCCTCCTGGACAAAGTCGTTGTTTGTTTGGTACATTTGTTGTTTTAAGTAAAAAACACTCAACACTGTTGCTTTGAAGTATATGGTGGACTAAAATTAAAGAATCCTTCTACATTGGAGACAGAACGCGAAGAACACTGAAACTTTCTGAAGATTTATGCAATCTTCTGTCTGGCCGTCAGCTCAATTTCAGATCTAAAGAAACTAATGTGTTAGTACAATTAACCTGACAAATCTACACCTGACGTGATTCCTGAACTAGATGTAGAATCTAAAGAGATACGACCCTTTGAAAGTTCCTAAGAATCCGCATTTCATAACTTTTAACGACGGATTTCACGAAGTTCCACAACACTGCACGCAAAACTGTACTTGGTTGACAGGGGCGAATGATCAAGTCTTTTCTTCAGCAACAACGTCAACAAACGCTTTATAGCTTAAAGTTTTTATAAAATTTATACGTTGCAAGATGACTGACACTACCAAGCTACCAGCAAGCTTCAGYAACGGGGCAGTRTTTGAGAGTTCAACGGCATTTTTGATGCTGCAGAAAAATGCCAAAAAACGTCAAACAACGATGACCGATGACGTTTTCAGAATCTTTCGTCGAACAGGAAAGAAAATCAATGAAATCGCCAAYAGAATCGAAGGCGAGAGRAACATYTAYCTTAARGATTCCTACAACAATAAGAACACACTTTACAAAGAATTATCAGGAATTAGCAATATCAAACCCGGTCAAAATGAGCGACGTAAGACGATGAGAATGAAGAATCACATGAGCTCATTRCCTCGTGTTTCGAGTGTCCCSACTAGTGATTTGATTTATAGACCTGTTAARAGCCAATTGGGAMGACAAAAGCTTGGTGAAGAGGCAGAGGTTGAGCCCGAAAAGCGTATCAACGTSAATGTACTAAAGCGCTGCGAATGTTGTCGAAGGCTTGCATTCAGGTACAAGGAAATGACCGAAAAACAGCGGGAAATYGAGGAAGAAGAAGAACGAAAGAAGAACGAAGAAAATGGTGTTGAAAACACATCATCTGAAACGCAAAAGTTAACACAAGAGGTCTTAGATTCAGTCAGACTAACTCCTAATRTCAATAGTGACGACGGCAGAAAAAGAAGTCAATTATCGTTGTACATTCGCGACGTGCCGCCAAACACAAGAGAAATAACGAGAAGTCAGGTTGTACCAACAAGCTTTAGTTCGTTAAGAAAGCAATCAAAAGCGAATCTAGAAAAATCCCMAAAAAGAGTAACAATTCATGCCCCACCAGTCACAGCCCCGCCAAGCCCAGACAAACAAGAAAAGAAAATATCGCGATGTCGTTCTTATTCAGTTCTAATGAACACCGACAGAACATCGCGTCCCGAGCCAACACCAAGCCCATTAAACAGACAAAAGATAAGAGTCAAATTTGAGAACCCCAATGCTAAAGARAAGCTTAAACTCGAAGGAATTGATTGGARGAACCATCTTCGTAGGCTTCATGGCCACGATGAAGGTGAAAAACAAACTGTTGTGTCTTTGTCCAAAGCGTACATCGCTTTCAGGAAACTTCTCCGTCAAATGGAAGAAGAAAGAAGAAAGGAAGAAGAAGCTGCTTTGAACGATGACAAGTCTTCTGATTCATCGGGCCGAAACTCTCCCCTCCCAAGAAACAGATTCTATAGCACAGCCATATCTGTCGCTGCGTCGTTGCGATGGCAACCAAGGAGGGAAAGTAAGCGTGCCGAATCTTTAATTCCAGGAATTGAGGATATCATAGAAAGTGCTTCCGACAAGGAGGTGACTTTTGATGAGGAAATAGTCAGCCAGTCAGGAGATTCCGATAAAAATGTGGGATTTTTTACGGTTTTGGAATGTAACAGCTGAACTGCGGATGTACTCAAGTGAAACTTGTRCAAAGTAATTAAATTAATAAAAAATAAATAATGAATGATAATCAATAATAATTAGTAATAAACAGTAATGATTCTGTATGCATGCATTCATTTTTGAAATACCAGCGGAACATGYACCTGCGCGCTTTCTATAGCTGACGCACAGAACTCTAACTTTACTCCTGCTGGGATCCCTTGTTGTGCTCACCAGTCTCTCTCGGTCYTATAGGCCACAGAAAGCCCGAATACTTGCATTTTGAACCAAATCACCTCTGCAAATTGARTATATTTAGGTCACACCATTCCTACCCGAATTTTCCATCAAAATCTCTGTCTTGATTCAACTAAGTCTCTGTTTTTACTGAAAGCAGAGGAAAGAACTAAACAATATTCCAAAATATATGAGATAGAATTGTCCATAAATCAGGTTGAAAAACAGAACGTGCTAATTTTAGGTCAATGCATATTCTTGTTCAAGCCGTCAATCTGACAGAACGTTTGTAACCATAGTAACGCACGAGATGAGACACTCAGATGTTGGTATCCAAACAATTCAAGATGGCGGCTGAATTGGTTCATTCTCACCCTATMCAAGATTACCCCGACTATTCATAAATTAKCTAAAGGATTCTAAGTGCTAATCTTACACCCAATAGGCTTGGTGTAAGGCGACTACAAAAATATTTTGTTTACTGTCGGAATGAGAGTTAAACAAATACAGTTTTTCTTTGCGTATGCAAATTTTCTCTTGGCAGCTTAAATCCCTCACGTATGCCATACCACTGACAAGAGCTTTGATAAAGACAAAGCTTTAGTAAGACTTTGATCTTAAGAGCGGTATCCGCTAAAATATAGATTCCACAGTCAATTCAATTAGCGCAGAAAATATTGAGACTTAGTAGTGTTTTACTGACAAAATCCCTTTTACTTTAAAGTGTGTGTTACTGACACATTGTAAAAATGTCAATATCGATGGCTCTTTCTTGATACAAGTAGCTATTTTTACACTCTAAATTAAAGAATGTATTTTACGTCAAGTTGTATTCGATWTTTTTGCATAAGAATAATGGGTCATMTMGATATTTATTTCGTGCAGACAACACAAGATTTRTCCTAAGTTTGTCTCTTTTCGCAGTTAAGAGGCTTACATTTGATGGTGTTTCGTGATTGCTGAATCAATCCCCATSCAGGAAGCTCCAAAGAATTTTCTATATATATATATACCTGACAGCCAATTTTTTTATCATTGTTACATCGAGTGTTTTCAATAGTTCTTCATTATTTAATCACGCAAATGAATCTTCSATAGCTTCTTTTAATTCGTTGRCACACATAAGGTTTGTCTGCCCATTGAACGAAGTTTCGGTCGTGCAAGACGGTCAGTAAATTCAACGGAAATCCAGCAGAGCTCAGGTCAACAAGCCGCACTACTATCGACTCGTGACTCTCATCGCTATSGCAAATAAACAATAATTCAAAATAATACTTGAAATTCTAACAATAACAACRTTTCTTGCAGCGCAGCKTTCTCTTAGATATCATRGAATAGTGAATTAGATGTGATACCCAATTGACAACAGTCAAATAATGGCGAAATTCTTTGGTTGGGACCAGAGAAAAGACCCTTAGCGTCGCCATGTGCGTCCCTTAGGAACGGCTTGACAGGGTTTAATCCACTAAAACCCTGCATATATCCCATATTAGCGTACAAATCTAAATCTCATGGCTTTTGAAAAGGCTAATCGTCTTCCCAGAGTTTKGGTGAAGATGGAAGAGGCCTAGATGGCCTCGTGTCTCGTTCTCTTGGAGATGAAACTTGGGGCCCTAGTGGTGGTAGATTTTTAGTCGGTTTTCGTTGCTGTCGTTCATATCTATGGTATAAAACATGGTCGGTGTCTTTTTTCCAATCGTAAGACTTCAGTCTAAGCGAAGCGGGAATGTCACTATAACCACCAATTGTGTTATCATTGTTGTTGTACGGGTTATCTTTAGAATTACTACACAGAAACTGTGATTCACTGAAGCAAATGTCTTGATTTGAAAGACCAGTTTTCATTTGACTAATAAAAACCCCATTATTCGCACTATCRTCGCAGTGTTCATCACTATCATGTGCCGTGCCTCTTATCGACGGTAATGGCTGCTTTCGTTGGATTTGCGGTATTGAAATTTGTCGACTATGAAACTCTTGCTCCTGTCGAAGTAATTTCAACAGAGCTTCGGCTTCGGCATCTTTAGTTTTCCCTCGCATTGGGATCCTTGAATGTTCCATCGTTGATTCATTCGTCAATTCGGTGCAATTATTCCATCTGGGTTTCGGACCTCACTAAATATGCGCAGGCTCTTTCGTGTTGCAGSTCTTCATCCAAKGCTGGTYCRTCAAGACTCGTGAGTGTGYACCACTCAACAGCATCTTTTATTCAGATGGTTGCTAGTTAATAGACATGGTGACAGTTCTGTTTGAACAAACTCAATTCTCACGACAGCTCAAGGCGAGATCAATATGTCAAAACTATTTCTAATTACTTTTTTGCTTTCTAGCGTTTCGTCATTGGTGATATGTAATTGCGTATGACTTTTTCCTAATTATGCTTTTATTTCTTCATCGTAGTAAATTGATTCTCTGTGAGTTTTTTAATCAAAAAGGTTCCTAGAGTCAACACGGAAARGTCCACATCGCAAGTGCTTTCTATGGCTATTGTTCCACTCAATTTGAGCTGAAAGTGTCTCTGCCTCCAATCTGAAACGGTTACCACTTCCCCGAGTCTAATTCCACATCAACTTATACCCGATAACTGTGACAGTTCAACTGGAAAAGGTACTTCATGCTCAGGGTGGTACARCTCTCGAGACTATGGACAATATCATTGAATGTTTGGCTTATTCTGACCAAAGAAGGTAAGAACTTMTAGAAAATAATTGAAGTCTGCCATTGTACTTTATCCTTAATCTCTACAGTACACACCAGTAAGTCGGGTGATTAGTATTTCCTACAGCGTTTAATCAGTCTTTGCTGTCTACTAATTTGAATTAAAAACTCTCTTATGAGAGTAGATTTAATTCAGAACTTTCATCGCACAATTACTGCGGGTTTACGAGCTATATTACATGGAATTAGATCTATAATTAGGTATAAAGTTTTCAAACGATTTCTGTTATCTAGTATAAAGTAAATAATTCCACTTCGTAGACTGGAAGACGCGCTTTAACTTGACGTCATATGGAAAAATAGTCTAGTTAAGCGCCTGGGAGACTCGGGGAGAAAGCCATATGGGATATTCCTCAGTCGATGGCGGCTTAAAGCCACCTAGGGAAGGAAGCTCAYTTAGAWGATAAAATTCATGTCGCCAACTTTCTACAAGGAACTTGATAACCGGCTAGCAAATAAATCATCAGTGCTAGCGCTGAATTTAATCTTACTTTACAATACTGCTTCCCTGCTCGTAGTTCGCCTTGATAACATAAGAGTTAAAAGGGCCAAAGTCTTATTTTATAACCTCGAATCTCACACGTGTCGATCATGCAAATGAGATAGTGGTGTGCAAATTATGAGTAGAAGCAAACGATCCAAGGAATATTCGCATTGAATTCGACATAGGTTCGGCAATTATTCGATGACTTTCGGTAAATGTTGAATAATACTTTTAGCGATCTATTTTCACCGTGTTAGCCTTAAAAACCACGTATTAATATATTCTTTATTCAGGAATAATCCGTGCAAATACAAGAGATCTGCAAGCATAGAAGACACTTGAAAATAGTTTGACGTCTCACAAGTTTTACCTAAATTACTGTATATTTTAAACACAACTGTGTAAAAGAGATTGCGGAACTCATCTATTTTGTATTCRCAGTCTGTATTTGCATCCCCTATGCTTTGAATAGTGAACTGACAGCAAGATCCGCTGACATCTCGCGAGCTAATATACATATGTATACGTACGCAGTCCTCGTCGAATGAAATCTTAATTATACTATAGTCCATTGAAGTAGGTACGGCTTATTCAATGCTTTAGTTTCATTAGATTCCTTGGTAAAACATGTGTTTACTGGTTCTTTGTTGACCTTCCTGTGTTYATAATAACCCTCCTCGTGGTGAGCAGACGCCAGTTGTACAAACATAAACCGAAAAAAGGAAAAATTGTTCAAAGAAAGTTAATGTAGCTGTCAGAAACGACGTGTTTTCGAAACCATGTCGATTGAAATCCCGTCTATATGCTTAGGAATTACTTATTTGACGTTATATAGCAGTTGATTATGAAAACTTGACAGATTGAGTTTATGTTTTTAAGGTCGCAGATGGTATTTTCTCGAGATTGATGCTTCCGGGATGTAGTTGGAACAAGAGGAACAGTGTATTTTGTACAAAATTATTACTATTATTTGAAAAGTAGTGTAAATTACAACATTTTGATGAAAAGGAAAAATTTTATCACCTTATAAAARGAAAGGCGTCTTTCYCAACGTATGTCCACTCTTTGCRAGAATTCAGGACAAGCTCAATTTTCCATGGTTACTGTTGCTATGTAAAGGATTAACCCTGAGTTTGCCTGTTCATTTTATGGCAGTTTGTCGTTTCTTTACTACATGAACATTACTTCTAAGATACAAAATTACTTGTAGATTGTTAGTGGTGCAATATTTTCTTCGCCCATACAGTCAGTTTCGGGTATTGTCAGTGTTTTTGTGGTCTCAGTCTCTGATAATATCTTTTTCTGGTTTCGAAACGCCAATTTAGACATATACACTGATGTATACACAAGACTTTGATTTTTTCTTTAGATATTTGAAATTATATTAAGTGGAAAAACAAGACACATTCCCGTTGAGAACATTGCGATCAAACATGAACAGCTATTTGGAAAACATCGAGACTTTGCGYGCACAAATTTAGCTTTGTTTTCGTTGTCTCTTTTTTTGGTGGTTTTTCTGGTGTTTAGTTGACCTSTTCAATTAATTAACTATTACCTAGCTAATTGCAATTGTTTCTTGTGTAAAAGCATGGCAAAATAAGCAGACATGATGATCAGGACATCAAAGGCGACAATTCTCAACTGA